CAGATATTGGCAGACAAACACTTCGAGTTGGGACAACATTTTCATTGCCAGAGTAATGACCCAAAGTGAGTGTACAATGCAAAAACACCCCTGTCTAGCCTTTGAACATTGCAAACTGTGAAGTCATTCAGCTGGGTTTCAAACTAGGACATAAAGGCCCAGGCTTTCATATTTTGTTTCTAACCTAGCCAAAGACACTGCATTAGAAATATTCTGGGCATAAATAACACCTCAACCTCAAAGCTGTCAGTAAGAGGATAGCAAGGTTGTATTTAAAAAGTGGTTTATCTCAGAAAGATTTATTTTTGTGGCACATCTATGGAACTCAACATACTAATTTGATGGCATTTTAAAAAATGGCCTTCACATTCTCCTTTCCACCAAAAGGAACCAGATTCATAAATCTATGTCGACTGAGTCACTAAGAGAAAAGGGAGCATGAAAGCCTCCACAGAAATGTAATGATGATAAAGGCTGAGAGCTGTAAATTCTGCAACTGGCAGTATAAAAGAGTAACTGAAGTAAATACTGTGGCATTATAACCAAACTACTACAAGAAACATGACTCGAAGTGGCACAGACTCACTCTTAACATTCACTTTTGTCATATTAAGATTTAACAGGAAAAAGAAGAGAAAATGAGACTAACTACTTGAAACATGTGGGTGCTATCTAAGACGTTTACCTAAAGAGCATGGTTTGGTTGTTCCCTGTTTCTAATGTAGGCTCTAGACATCAGCCAAGCAGAGAAATGATGCTCTCCAAGTGGTTCCTATTTGTAGGAAAAAGAAATATATATTCCCCAAATCTCTGAATCATTTTAGTGTGGCATCACTAACATGCACAAAAGCAGTGTCAAGTACACACCTTGCTCTTGCAGTGCCCCAGCTGCAAAAAGGCCTCCTAATGGCAGATCCGAAATCTGGGCAGAGCTCCACAGGAGATCTGCTGAGTCAAAGCATGTTTGCTTTGCTGTTTCTGCCAACAGACAGATTTTCAGCACATATCCATTCTCACTGATTAAACAGAAGCTGTTCTTGGGAACTTCTGAAAGTCTGTATCTACAAAGGAGAATATTGTTCAGTGCTGTGTCTACTACCATAAGCTAGTAAAACAAATTCAGAGATTGACCCAGTATTGTTTCTTTACCAGCAGTACTGGTTTCTTTGGGCTCTCCTGTGAAAAGGTTCACAAAAAGGTTCATGTACTCAAGTGTGCACCCAGTCTGCTACGAGGGGCACAAGTGGGAGAAACCAACTTCCTCTGAGTCACGCCAGCACATCTAATAATGATCCTTCATGTCTCAGGAAGACATATTCTCTATCCGCATTCTGCCTGGACCTACGATGTTAGTTTAGAATTTCAATACTGTAAATTATTACATTCTGACTCTTCTCCATGATGGAAAAGTTTGTGTCAGGGCAAAGCATTTCTTTTGTCTCGATACATGAACCACTCCAAATATTTCACAAAAAAAAGAAAGTAAAAAAAAAAAACTTTTTAGTAACAAAATTAAAATCAAAACTCCTTCTGAAATCTAGACTAGAAGAGTATTTCTGCTTCTGTTACATTATTGTTCCCTTTAGTTCTGTCTAAAAAAGTCAAAATTTAAAATTAAAAATACAGTCAGTTTAAAGAAGAATACTAGCAGAATGCACTGCAGGTGACTGATTCTTTTTCAGGAGAACTAGCTGGAAGACTAGCAATACTCTCTAAAATAAATTATAGAAACATTTTAGTCCTTGATATGGATTAAATCTGAATTAGCTCTTGACAGAGAAAAGGAAAAGGGTTATAAGCAATAAATCACTGGGTCCACATGCAGAAAACCTACCTACAGAGCAACTCAAGATTTCTCAAGCCAAATGTTTTTGGCATATATAAAAAATATTTATTTATGTTACAGTTTTTGTTGTTACTATTATTTGTAGTCTTTAATTTTTTTTTAATTTTACCTAGTGAATGTAGAACATGAATGTTTCCTGAAGTATCAAATGTTTGAAATTTATTAGATTTTCAAGTCCTTTAGCCAGGCTTTAAGACGGAATGATTTCTCAGTCCCACAGAATGGTAGACAAATGCTTGCCTGTGGTGCTGCTGCGTTGCGTATCTTGGTGCTAATAGGTTTAGATAAAAATACAGACACTGACTTTTTTGTATGTAAAATGTTAATGGTCAAATAAGGTATAGCATATCTCACAGTTGAGCAAAGTCATGCTGACCTAGGCATGGCATACTTGGAAATATGACAATCCATCTGCTGTTATAAACGAGAGATGTCAGCCAGAAGTCAGACTGAAAAAAATGCTTTTCAGTACATTACAACAGCTTTGTATTAAATGCTTTTAGAGAATGATCTCTGCACACATTTTAAACTGGCCTTCTTTATCCAGATGTAAAAGGTACCCTTAGATTTATTGTACTGATTGTAATGTAGTTTCTAGATGAACCCTTGAATCCAATGTCTTTGAGCTTGAATTTGACACATTGTGCACATACATGAAATGCCACCACTGCCATCAGAGGCAATTCTATCACAGGGAAAAGCATTTTAAGTTCCAGAGGGGCTTAAAATCTACTGCTGCTTTTTTGCCTTTCTCAAATGCACAGACATAAACACGGACATCTGGTCTCCTGCAGCATTGGTAATTGTGACGTTTTTAAAATTTTTTTCCTATTCAGAAGCAAGCTATAGTTTTAGAGCATGGGCTAATGAAAATCAATTATCAACCCTGAGATGGGGAGAAAAAACAAAGAGGAAGAACAGCAAGGCAGCAAATGGGCTTATGAAATTAAAAATGAAAATAAAGCAAATCTGTGTTTCATCCTGACAAATGAGGCAGGACTGCCTGTCTGTCATCCCGTTCATCATGCAGATGACTGCTCAGTAGCTCTAGGCATGTAATCAGGCAATCCCCTTCCCCACATTTCTACAGTTGCTGTCAACTGTTTGTAAATATTCTAGATAAAAAGTGTTGGAAATTGAACTTTACAAACCTAAAAGATCCATAGCTTTTAAAAATATATTTTTTTGTTTCATTTTAACAGAGATTTTTGTTTTAACTGTTATGAAGCCTAGCTGTTTTTCACCAGCAGAGAAAAAATGGCAATGATATTAGATCTAGCAGGTCAGAAAACAAACAGGTGGTGAAAAATTAATAATAAGTACTCATCTTTACTGTTGCTATAAAGAAATCTTTGTATCAGATGAGACTCAATAATACATGGCATGCCATCTGGTTTGCCCACAGACTGCAGCAATGAGATTTGCAGATTACAGCTGGCCCCTCACAGCCACTATCACCCAGTTAACCCAGAACTTGAATGGAAGCAGCCTATGAACAAAGGGCAGCAGAGCCTTCCTTCTGAAGGAAAATCTTCAGCTGGCTGGCCCAGCAAGCTAGCTGCCACAATTGCAGGCTCAGTGGTTGAGGGGGGGTGTAATCCTTCATCTTGTTTTTGCTAAACTTTCAGAGCAGCACCTTCAGATAAAGCTTTCAGTTGCTTCTGAATAGGAAGGAAATTCTGTCCCAAGCTGTTGAACACAGCAGTACTTGCAACTGTGAGCAGCAAGCCTTCAGCTTGGTACTACCAGCTGGTACAAAAGACTCAGAACATCCTCTTGTCATAACAGGTTGCACTGTGTAAATCCATCTTCCAATTTGAGCATCATGTAGAGACTCCACTCAGATAAACTCTCTTGTCTAAAAGCTTGTCATCTGGTCTGTACTAACCATGAAAGCTTATTCATTCTCTAGAAAATAGAGATGGATCTTTCGTAAGAGCAGTTCAGTGTGGAGTCTGACTGACAGCAGCAAGAAGGGACACACTCTGGAGCTGTCCTTCTCTTTGGATGTCTGAGTACATCACTAGTGTTCAGACTACTTGGGCAACACAAGATCTATTTCTTGTATAGCAGAATCAAGCTAAGTCCTAGTTCTTATCTTCTGAGTGCTGAATGTCCAGACATTCAAGCATACATGGATCAAGAAAATCTCCATGTGTGGAGATGAAATGTGCTCCATGGGTTTAGTGGCTTTTTCTGCCACAACAGGTTAAAAAGCTTGACAGAGAGAAAAAGATTTATTAGGCAGCCTGTGGCTGGGCAACAGTACTCACTACAAACAGCCATCACAACATCACTGCCTTTTACTTCAAGTGTAAAACATGTCTGTGACCTTGTCTGTTGTGAAAAAAGTACACAGTAGTACACATCTTAACCAAAGATGCTAAAAAGAAATGTACTGAACAAATCACACAAACTCTGAACAAAATCTTCCCTCAAACACAATTCTCCCATGAGAACAGAATGCAAGAGAGTACAGAGAACACACAAGACAAATGCTATATATATCACCCAGAATATTGCTAGAAGGCTCTTAGGTATGAAAATACTTCTTGAAGGATAAGATGACACAGCTGAGACTAATTCTAGCTTTCCTTTTGGGTCAGCTGTTCTTTAAAAACATTACATTTTTTGGATCCTCATTTGTCCTTGTCTGATTAAAATGACATATTTTTATGGAAACATCTTGATACTCACAAAATAGATGGTAATATAACCATCCATTTTAAGTTCTATAACTCTGATGAAAGTTTTCTCCATATTTTTTACACTTGAGCCAGATGAATGAGACATCTAACCCATTAAGGTTAAAAGCAACATAAAAATAGTAAAAGACAACCCCACTCATAGCATCCCATTTCTTTCATTGAGCTACAGTAATGCTTTCTGGTAAGTTAGAAATTACTCATCAAGTTGCTCATTTTAGTGGAATAATCCACATTACAGACATCACAGAAAATACAATAGTTGATATAAGTCATATGCAAAGCATTTTAAAGTATTCACTGTCTTTCCACAAAATCAAAAATCCTGCCTTTGGGCATAGGCAATGTATCTGGAAATAAATTTTCCAAGACAATGTATACTATCACAACAGTTCAGTGATATTAAACATTACCTCTGATAGCTAATATGGATTTCAAGTTTTACTTACCAATCTTGCACAGCATTGAAGGATTCTTCATTTGTGATGTCATACATTAAAATAAAACCCATTGCACCCCGGTAGTAAGCCGTGGTAATTGTTCTGTATCTCTCCTGACCTGCTGTGTCCTGAAACAGTAACAAAGAAACCTTTTACATATTGTAGATAAACTGACAAATCTTTTTTATTTGTTTGTTTTCTTTTATAATGAGGAAGAAAACTAGCAGTGGTCATTGCACAACTCTGCAATCCTATTCATAAAATTAATTGAAAGGAGAGAATAATGAGAATAACAACAAAAAGAAGTATTCCGCTTTGGATCATAATAAGAGGAACATGTCCATTTTGCAATGAAGGGAGAGTGGTGAAAAGCAGAAAGAATGCTTTATAACAGAAGCCATTCATTGCTTCACACTGTGCAATGTATTTTGGATTAGAACCTTGTCTCCTGCTCCTGCCTGGGTGCTTCCCATTTTGATAGAGGGGAAAGGTAAGGTCTCATGTTCTGAAGAAGCAGCTGGGGCAAATCAGCATCCCTAAGATTTTCACCATAAGATCAGTATGGTTCTTGAAGTCTGTGGACGTACTGGCTAAAAGTCAGTGTTTAACTGTTCTGTTCGTATGATTTTAAATCACTGGAGTTCATGCCAACTTTAGCACAAACAGAAATTTGTGCTGACAAAAACATAGGGCTGAGATATTGTCCTTCAAAAATAGGAATGATCTCTGGCAAACCAAAGACGGCTAGAAGTCCCTTACTACAGACCAGTTTTCTTCCTCATTCTCTGTATTTCTGCAAAGTAAGGAATGAAAGTTTTCCTTTTTCCTACTCCTTGCTTTACTTATTTCCATAAAAAAAAATCTTCACATCAGGGAGCATTTGTTACTACATTTACATGCAGTTTCTACCACAGCTACCTGTACCGAGTCTGTACTGAGACTGTGAGACAAAAGCAATAGCTAAATTACAGGAAGAGAGTAACTATATCCTGTTCCAACAAACCTATTTAATATTTTTATCTGTGAACATTGGAAGCTTTAGATGAACCATACATAACATTTCAGTCCTCTAACTCTCTAATAGATCAGCTGGATATCTTTTTTTTCCAACAGACTTTAAATCATAATTCCATTATTTCAGATATTTCGGGTAGATAAGAACCAGTTTGCAATACGAACAATTTTATCTGTCTTCCTGCTGAAAAAGAGAAATAACTTGAGATAAACAATGTTTTATTTGGATGTTTTCTGAAAAGGTTTCTTGTGTTAGTTGCACTGCCTTATGAAAAGGAAAAAAATAATTGGGCATTCTTTATGCATATGTCATGCATTCTGTAATCCAATGAAGTAAAAAAGGAGATTCTACCTATATCAGAGACCACTTATTGAATAACAAATATAGTAAGACAGTTGCTGAGACCAGATAAGGATATGTCTAAAATACATGTATTCAGTACATCCTGGTTTACAGTTGCTACTGCCGTGGTGTAGTTTCAGTGCTCCAAGGCTAAAAGAGAAGTTAGACATTAAGAGGCCACGTGGCTCTGTCTGTGTAGTATACACCAGACAGGCTTAAACTTCTGCTTGTATTCTGAGCTGGCTGACACTTTTCCACGTGTGTTTTGGAGGCAGGATAGCTTTTCTAACCGGTACAAATTTTGTGGTGCTACTCCTGATTATTAAGGTATTAAGACTCTTCCACTAAGCCTGTGTACATTCTAATACAGAGATGTCAGTTTTCTCTCAGAGATTGTGCTCTGTAAATAAGAGGAAAATTACCATTGAAATTTCAAGTAAAAACATTATTAGCAGGAAAAATGCAACCTTTCATTATAAAAAAACCATGCCTTTGTATTTTTTGTACAGAGTAAGTTTCACTCTCACGTTTCACTGGCTTCATTTATTTGATTTGTTACTAAGAGGAGAGCTGGGAGGGATGGACTGTAGCATGTAAACAGCCTTACTGTACAGAACAGATGCAATTTCTAAACAAGTTTTGTCAGTGTCTGCCTGCTTGCTTGTCTGCCATTGGCGTGTTTGGTTGGAAATATGATGCTGTGACAAGCAGAAGCTTACTGTTACTGAAGCAAATCTTATTTTGCTGTAGGTGATATCTACTGAAACCTGTCTGCAGATAAGAGCTAACAGTCCTCTGAACTGAACCAGGAGGCACTGAGGCTTCCTAGCTTAAGACATTAACCACTTTGCAGACAGTCTTAAAGGGAGTCATTATGGACCTAGGTATTCTAGTTACAGAGAATAAAAATGAGTGTAAAGGAAGAAAAACAAAGATAAAAGTTCTTAAATACTTTACACAAATGCAAGGATCTGCAGATGAGGATCCAAGCACAGACAGAGTGGACCAAGGCATTGGGTTTGACTTGGTCAAAGGAAGGAAGCAGATATTTGGGTTTTGTTGTCTATACAGCAGGCAGCTAATATATGCCTGCAGCTAATGTGACAACAACAACAAAATTCATAAATGGCATTTCTGCATACAGCATAGATGGATGACCATTAACAAGGTGGAGTTATTCGGTTCATATGTTGATAATCACATTCATGTTGGTGTTATTACCAATGCACTTGCTATAAGAAAACAAAGTTTTCATTGGTCAAATATACAGGTTATGTGCAGGAGTGTTTATGTTTCTGTGAGAAATGAAATTAATACCAGAAATCAGTTTTGTCAATGCTTTTGTGTTTTACATGTTCATAAGCATTTCCTCTGTCTTCTGACTAGAATATATTAAAAAACACCCCAAAGATAGCTCCTTATATAGTATTGCTAATTAACAGCAATAACACGTCAGAAGAAGTACACTGAAAATATAAAATACTTGAATATTAAGCAACACGTTTTATTATACTGGTTTAATGTATCTGAAGTACATAGTGCAGCAGTGTAAGTGGATTTTTCTGTTTATTAACTTTTATTCTTACAGAAGAACTGAGCAGAAAAAAAATAATTTTCATATTTCACCATCTTTATATCTGTAAATCACTGTGATTTTTATCCTCGGGTTAGTTTGTACTCAAAGAAAAGCTCCAATTCAGGTATAGCTGCTGGCTGCTGTTATTTCACTTCAGTCTTTTTAGCAAGACGATGGAATTGATCTGGTGACCATCTTTTTAGGTTTATATTCTGAAATATAATGTTGGTATACTGCACTGATGTTTAGTTTAGCAAACTAAAATTAAGCCTGAGGAAGAATAAAATTTGACCTATTAATGAATGGCATTTTAACCAAGGCAGTTCATTTTCATCTTTGATGGGCAGAAAACAAGACATGTGGATCATCCTGGGGGCTCTTTCATTCATGGGAATAAAGTCTGATAAAGACAATTGACTGCTCATTAGAGAAGTAGAGTAGAAAAACCAAAGGGGATGAATGACAGTGAGGGAATGCTCTATGAAAAGTTCTGGCTCATGGTGAAGATACCAATTTGGTACATATTTGACCACCTATCCTTTCCCATCTGGAGCAAGATAATTCTAGATTACCTTGTCTGTTCATTGGAATTAAAAGTGTGAATCTGACAATATACATACATCAGTTATTTTTACAACAACTTCGTCAACAAGATTTTAGTCAAGTGTTTCTTCCTTGAAGCTAGTCTTGAATAATTGGTAAATTTCCTACAGATTCTCATTATTACTATTTAACTGTCATAATGTTGGAAGCTTTAGAGTATGAGAAATGCACTGGCTGCTGACAGCAATGGTTGCAGAGGAGTGGAGAGCTATAATGTAATACTCTGAGTAAGCAGAAATATGTAGAGACAGCAGACTAGCTGGTATAGAAGAAATAATCTGTTCTGCACATGAAGATAAGCATTTATGGGGCTAGAAAGTATCAAAACACAAAACACAGAAACCTTGTTTTTTATAAATATTTTGAAAATAATGACCATTTAGGCATCCAATATAGAGTTAGCTGAACTAATTTAGCGAAGTAAATCCCCCTTACTGTCAAGGCCTGCTAAGGCAGATGTCATCCATAATGTCTGCCCCGTTAGAACATATACTTCAATTATACCAATGATTTGAGCAATGTATTAAATCTGTCCCTTTCTGAATTAATTTGCTGAGTGTGTGCACTCCCTATTCCTTGCCTAGCACTGCACCACTGACATGAAGAATACTTTATGTAAATAACTTCTAAGTGGAGCAACTTGTTATTAATGCAGACAGTTTTGAAGGTGAAGGCAAACAGCATTTGGCAGCAAGAACTTTTAATGAGTTTGTCATTATGAAATTCAGTCTGGAAAATACAAACTGATTTTACAGCACACTTGAGTGACTATGCCTCTGTATTTCTGCATTGTATGCAAAACATACAAATGTGATTTTACATTACTTTCCCCACATTTTAAGTTTTACATACATCAGGGCAATCCCAGGTATTTATACAAACTTGAGGGTCCTGGTGGATGAGAAGCTGGACATGAGGCAGCAGTGTGTGCTTGAAGCCCCGAAGACCAACTGTGTTCTGGGCTGCATTAAAAAGGGGTGGCCAGCAGGGAGAGGGAGGTGATTGTCGCCCTCTACTCAGCTCTTGTGAGGCCCCATCTGAAGTATTGCATCCAGGCCCTGGGCCCCCAGTACAGGAAGGACGTGGAGCTCTTGGAGCGGGTCCAGAGGAGGGCCACTAAGATGATCAGAGGGTTGGAGCACCTCTCCTATGTGGAAAGGCTGAGTGAACTGGGCTTGTTTAGCTTGGAGAAGAGAAGTTTCTGGGGAGACCTCATTGTGACCTTCGAGTACTTTTAAGGACCATATAAACAGGAGGGAGTATGGCTGTTTGAAAGGGTGGATAGTGATAGGACAAGTGTCCTATCACAAGGGAAAATGGTTTTAAACTGAGACAGGGGAGGTTTAGATTAGATATTAGGAGTAAGCTTTTCACACCGAGGGTGGTGACACACTGGAACAGGTTGCCCAAGGAGGTTGTGGATGCACCATCCCCATTCAAGGCTGGCAACCCTGCACATAGCAGGGGGGTTGAAACTAGGTGATCTTTGAGGTCCTTTTCAACCCAGGCCATTCTATGATTCTATGATTGTGACTGAAAATTGGCAATATTGGAAGATTTCTTTGATAGCATCTGTATTTCTGGTGCACATC